ACACACACACACACACACACACACACACACACACACACACAGAGCCAGTGAAAGTCCGACGGAACAGTCTGGCACAGTCATGCTATTTGTGAGGAGGTGTGTAAAGTGAATATGACAGGACAAACAAACACATGCTCACACACACACACACACACAGACACACACATACACACACATACACACACATACACACACACACGCACACACGATCACACACATACAGCTGACCCATGAGTACGTTCACCGGAATCGTTTGCTCACGCCCCCTGTTGCAATTTTGCAAACAACTTCTAAATTGCAATAGCGTTCTATGATATACTGACGCTCCCCAGAATGGATATGGAGCCAGGACAATCGCGGTTAATGGGAGGCCCAAAATTCGGGGTTTTTCGCCGCATCACTACAAACAATGTTGTCGAAACCTTTGTGAACAAACTATGCAGGGTCATAATACAAACATCAAACAAACGATCAAGCAAAACAAAAACAAAAAAAAAACAAATTCAAGAGCGCTATAAAACCCTATTCAGAGTAGCTTTCGGAGTTCGTTGAATCGAGTCTGGTGTTTTTGCCAAAATTTTCATAAGTTGGACGAATCTGGAAACTTTAGGAAATCTACTTTATACCACTTATTTTTATTTGTTTCTGGTTTCAAGTCTTATTTTATTAGTGGCCATGATTGGAGCTATAGTACTTACCATGCATAAGACTACTCAAGTAAAAAGACTTTGTCCAAATATGGCGAAACTGAATACAGATATACCCTAAAGCACATACATATCAGATGAAAAAAAAAAAGAGAAAAAAGTAAAACTTCAGAGAAATATGGCAGTTCGGTGAAAAATCCGCCGAATTTTGGGCCTTCCATTAACCGCCTCTCGGACCATTAGGACCTGTTTTGACTTTATTTTTTAAGTAAAAAAAAAAGAAGAAAGTGTTCTATAATATTTATTAATATACTACATTTTGTGTTCAAACTTCAAACTTCAAATTCCACATATCCAACAACATTTCCATGACTGGGGCCAGTTCCAGTCCCAAGTATCGGTTCGGTTTCCGAACTTTTTCTTTCCGCCGTGGTGGGGATGAGTTCTTGATTTATGCATGTTACATCATCCTTGCATGCAGAGGGGCCATGCTAATCTTCTCGGTATCGTTACAGTTTCAACGGGACTCCCAAAAGGACTATTGGGTAGGTATTATACAACCGCACAGGCCACGAAATTGGATCAGTTGGGGCCGCCGGACATCAGCACGAGCATAATAGGTCGGATTATCCCATCAGCCGCGAGGGCCCCTTTGCAAGGATTAAGAAATATACTGGCCCTCCCACTGGGATTAAAACCGCGGTTACTATCCCCTCTAGATACCAGATCGATAGGTTGGTTTGTCAAGTTGTTAAAAAAAAAAAAAGAAAAAAAAAAAGGTTGGTTTGTGAACTCAGAGTTGAAAAGAATCGATCTGATTCAATATACACCGAGGACGGGCGGGCGCCATTCTCAGGTCGTCACAGGTAACCAAGTCCCCAGCAGCTTCAGTGGCTAAGAGAAGAACAGATGCGGATGCATGCGGTCGACTTCGGAAGGACAGCTTGATTCCCTGTGGATGCAATATAAGGAAATGCTGCAGAAGGACAGATGCGGATATGCTGATGATTTCAGAAGGACAACTCAGAAGTTGGCTGGTATCACTTGGCTACAAACGTACCTGGCAGCAGCGTCAGCAACGAGTGGGGTGGCTAAAGGCATGCAGATTTCTACAATGTGTGTGTGAGATGTCGCTGGCCATGGGAAAAGAACAGACAGACATCTGTGGCTTTCGTGTCCGGCTTCGAGAAGGTTATGGGATTGGTGGATACGACACTGGAACAAGCGTACCGAAGGCAACCTTCAGTGGTCGGACAGTTGGATTCTCTCGGGCGTACACAGATCTGAGTCGGAAGAGGAAAAGGACTGGCTGTACGTAGCGCAAAATACATCTGATGAAAATAATTTGGGATAAGAGAAAGTTGAGAAACACTCAGTTGTTCAGATCTACTGGGATTTAAGGGCCTGGTAGCTCTGCAAATCAGATTGGTCATCAGAAAAAGAGATTGCATCAGACCTAAGGTTCCAGGCACACACACACACAAAAAAAAAAAAAAAAAAAAAAGGTTCCAGGCACACAGAAGTCTAGGACGTGGTTTCGGGAGACTTGGGGGAGGGAGGGACTCTACTTTAGTTAAACTCCACTCTTATGTTGGCAGGCTCCAGTTTTGTCCATGGTTATTGTCCCCTCTGGAGCATGGGGAGCATTTTAGCTTCCCCCCAT